TTTCCTCAGCAACCAGCACGGATCAGCTCCAGGCATGACGAAGCCATATCGTCCTCTTTTGGAAGGCCAAACAAAGTAGTTTCGCTTTCACAACGAAACACACAGTTATTCGGTTTATAAACGTGCCTGACACTCCCTCTGACTCGAAATAAACCAATATCCCGAGTTATTCAGTTACTCCTAATAATACATTGACTGAACTGCTAAAAGAGAACCGATGATGGGATGTGCCCAAGCAGAGCAGCTGGACTGAGTCTTGTCCTGCTGGGAGATGGCATCACAGTATGTTAAGGGGCGTAACATTTCCGTTACACGCTTGAGGCATTCGGCCAATCACAATGCACTGGATAGCTGGCCAATCAGAGCACACCTAGCTTTTTTTAGAACGATTAGCTTTGTAAAAATCGCGTTTCAGAAAGGCGGGGCATAGAGGAGAAACAATAATGTACATTATATGGAAAATAAATTACACCAAATACACAACATAATGTTCTTTTTAGCAACGTCATATGACTCCTTTAACCATAGGCCTAGGCTACCGGACTGTATTGCGCGCGATGTAGACAGCATTCGAATGAAGTTTATCATGAATAAATGTTACATAAAGTACATAAAATAAAATAGGCCTACAAGAAAACATTTTTATCCATCCCACAGTCTTGTAAGTCCATTAACTGATTGTCTTTTTTCCGTGATAATTGTATATTATTATTATTATTGGTTATATTTTTTATATTCGTTGTTATGTTTGTTATGTATTTTCCCTTTATTTCGATCTCTTTACTTAACGTTCTGAATAGTTTTGTAAATAATAGCCTTAATAGCCTACTCGGCATGCCAATAACGCTTTGATTATGCTATATGACTGGAATTTTTAATAGAAGTGCTGTTTAAAAGTTGAATTTAAGTGTAACTATATATTTCATTTTATTTCGGCTAATTAAGAGACTATTATAAATATAGTGTTTCACTGAGGAATGAATTTGCGTAGTTTCATTTGTAAATGAAAACACGCTCATTTATCGTCACACACGGGCGTAAATACAATCAAAAAGTCAACTTGATTGGCATAATTGTCAGGCGTTTACAGTATTTGCAAAATATGGTAGCATATTAATAATACTAGCATATTATACAGAACGTTAATTAGGTAAAGCGCTACACGAATTGAAAGGGGAAATTAAACATTACAATAAATAGGCTATAAAAATATAGCCCTAATCAGTTATTATAATAATATTGTTATATTAGCCTACAGTTATATAATAATAATAATAATAATAATATACAAATATTAAATAAAAAGACACGATTAGTTAACGGATTTACAATGGATAAAAATGTTTTATCCATGTGTGATAATCGCAGGTTGCT